TATATATATATATATATATGAATGATTCCATATATGGAATATTAAAATCCAGGGACAGGTGGGATCTTCCCTTCCTGTATACAAAACCCGGTTTGCTGAAGTGCTAAGGACCATGAGGCCGGCTGTAGGCTTGATGGATAGGTGCTGTTGTTAGGATGGGTGGAGTGGCTGTCAGTCAGCTGTCAGTAGGTAAGGCTGCAGTGACAAACAAACCCCAAACCCTAGTGACTGACAGTAGCCAGTCTCTCCTGCTGCTCACCGCCTGAACTGATGGCTGGTTGTGTCTCTATGCCCCCATTCTAGAGCCACAGCCTGACTGAGAACTGTCTTTCCCTTAGTGTGGGAAGAGGAGAAAATGGGCCCTGCCAACATCCCACCTTTCTCATATTTCATTGGCCAGAGCAAGTCATGTGACCCTAAGTCACATGGGAGAAGTCAAAAGTCAGGATGCACAATTTGCTCTCTGGGCAGGTCTAGCAAATTCCTGGGAACAATCAGCTCCCCACCATGCCTCTGACCTCCTAGTTGAAGAACCTTCTCTCAGAAATGGAAACCGAGGGCCAGAGAACTCTGAGATGCCTGGAAGGTCAACAGAACCTGTGAGGCTAGATCTTGATATCATCACATTGTGTGTCTGGGCCTGGGGGGCAAGGCCCACGCAGAGATGGGAAGCACACACACAGCACCCACACTGACTCCCTCACTGTGTCAGGACTCTCACAGACTCCCTGAGGGCAATAAGCTACCCTCAGGTAACAGCCATCCTTGAGGCAAGAATTCAGAGCGCTGAGCTGCAGGTGGCTCAGGTTTAGTTGGTTATTTTACTCTTTAGTCTTTGGGGGACCTGGCACCCACCTCCCAAATCACACACAGAGGCTTATTCTTAATTATAAGTACCTGACCTTAGCTTGGTTTGTTTCTAGCCAGCTTTTGTTAGCTTAAATTATTCCATTTATCTTTTGCCTCTGGGCTTTTTCCTTTTCTTCTGTAATCTTACTTTCACTCTTACTCTGTGGCTGGTTGTGTGGCTGGGTGGCTGGCTCCTTCATTTATCACTCCTTGACCCCCCTCTCTTTCTCTCTTCTCTCCTTCTATTTATTCTCGCTGCCTTCCAGCCCCACCTAGCCTTTCTCCTGCCTTGCTACTGGCCCCACCTTCACAGACTTAAACAAATGCAACATAAAAGAATGCAACACGTCTTTGCATCATTAAGCAAATGTTCCACAGCATAAACAAATGCAACAGATTTTAAAATAGTATTCTACAACACATGAATTGTCACCATAGAATGGCTGCTCGTGAAGAGGGCTCCTGGCTGTAGGAGGCTAAAGGCAGATGTGTGCCCTCTCTCTGCCCAGGGCCCAGATTTCGGCTATGTGACCCGGGAGCCCCTCTTTGAGAAAGTCACCAGCCTCGACTCCTTTGGGAATCTGGAAGTCAGTCCCCCAGTGACAGTGAATGGCAAAACATACCCTCTTGGCCGGATCCTCATCGGGAGCAGTTTCCCTCTGTAAGATACCGGGGGAGAGGGGGAAAGGACCTGGGGGGCAGCAGGCACAGGAGCATGACTGTCTCTTTAGGGGTAGCCTAGGGTGTATATGCCTGAAGTGAATCTAAGGGGGAATATCCCCTGCCGCAGTGCACTGTAAATCAATAGACTGGAAAGAAAGCCAGGTTAGCCTTAGTATGAATTAAGATCTAATATGCAACCCAGAACCCTCTTCCACAAATGGGAGGTGTGTGGTGAGATGTAGGCCAGGTGGTCATGCCCACTTTGTGGCCTCAAGCCATGTGGAGGACTGAAATCTGCCTCTCTGCATCCCCACTCTTCACACGGAGCCAGAGGCCGGAGTAGAGCATGTTACACAGACACCAGCAAATCTGACTTCCCCACAGTTGGATCCTGCTATAGATATCAGGCCATTCACAGGTGACCCCTTTCCAAGTCCCCTCTTGAGAGGTGGCAGAAGCAGCATGTGAACTCCACTCTGGGATGACAGAAGAACCTGACCTTGAACAGCACCCCGATATCAGAAAGGGGACCTCAGGCAGGCTTTCGAACTTTCATGAGCCTCAGTGTGCACTTCTGCAAAACGGAGACATCATCGCCCACCATTGTTAGTCAGTCAAGGCATGCAGAAGGCATCGCACTATGCCTCATCAGTGGCCGTCACCGTCTGGTTTCATTGCCCCAGCCTGGAGGCTGCCCTCAGTAGCCCTGCATGTGGCTTATTGTCCATTTTCCCTGACACTGGGGGAGAGGGCCATCAAACTGACCACCCCAGGGCCACCACAGGCAGCAGGAACAAGAAGCAACCTCCTAACCCTGTCCTTTCTCTTCCCCTGGGCTCCAACTGTCTTCAGTGCTCCAGGCTGGCCTAGTGCCAAGGCCTGTCTGCATTGTTCCCAGAGGCCGAGCCAGACCT